TGTTACAAAGGACAGCTTGTAAGGGTATTAGCGCCTAGCGGAGAACACAACTTGGAAAAGTAAAACAGTTGCAGATTTCGTACTTCCTTCAGCAAAAGAGCCTTGAGGGGCGTCTATGGACTGAAGGAGAAAGATCACCATCCTAGAAAACTCACAGCAGACACATGAATGCCTGAGATACATATACATATCCAACGCTTTAAGATAACATTTTAAATATGCAATATTCACAACGGAAAGTATTGTGCAGTCATTAAAATTTTTCTGGCAAAAGATCATCGTTAATATTATATGTTACGTAGCCTTAAAGCTGTCGAATTTTTTATGAACCAAATGAAGACTCTCTGTCATATTACCTAGTATATTTCTTCTTTCATCATAAGAGCCCTGCAACTTCTTGCTCTTCAAGCTTGACCTGAAAAAGGCAAAAGAATGAAATCAAGTATAGGGATGAAGAAATAAGAAGCAATGGCTACCCCAAAATCATCCAAATCCATATCAACTTCTTATTCTGTGAACTCTTTGGGAGAAACTCAAACCATTAACATTTGGTCTTTGAAGAAACATATCTTTCGTGCCATCTCTCCACATCATATTATGTTAATGCATATCAACAATGAGTGAAGATAAATATCCACTAAAAATAAGATATATTTTCTTTCAACATACATAACATCTGAAAGAGATATGAACTTACCTGAGCAGCATACGTCCTTTAATATCTCTTCTCACAATTAAGCTGAGATAAAAATCAAAATAGGAATTCACGAAGATTGTTCCAATGATCAGAACCTCAATTCAAGGGGAGTTTGTGTTGCTTGAACTAAAGGTGGAGCGTGTCGACTCCCATGAGCTCTCCATCACGGCGGCATTCTGGGCCTCCCAGAAACGGAGCATAAAGCTTGAACATTGGAGGAGGAGCGGCCAAATCAGAGAGGAAGACTGAAACCTTAGCCATATTTGACCAGAGTTGTTTACTGCTTTGTCTAAAACGAATGAAAGGATGATTATCAAGGTCGGAGAGCTCATCCTTTTATAGTACGACATCCACCGACATGAGAAATCATAGCTCGCATTGAATATGAATTGTGGCTGATGGATTAATGGAGGGTTTTAACGTGATAATTCGGTAACTGGTATCTTTTGGTGATGTGATGAAGAAGATGAAAGATCAATTGAGAAGAACATAATCGCCATGAGCTATGGAGAGCCGATAAAAAAACTTGTGTAACCCTAGCCGACAACGCTGCGTTTCATCTACGCATATTTGACTAACAAGTTGTAGGTGAAGATGATATAAAAAGCCTGTTAATATTTGAAGCCCAAACTGAATCCACAAATTATGTAACAAAACGCAGCGAATTTGTCTCTCCTTGCCACGTGGCGGCCGCAGAATCTCTGATTTGATGACATGGCACTT